TGATACATTTTCTGCACCCATGAGTATGCAAGTATCCAGTCCATGTGAGGGGAACTTCATTGTTACTGGATGATCACAGGGCATGTGTGTGACATCCTGTTTGTTCAAACTTGGTGGATTTGTCCTTGAGACACACACCAAATGTGTACTTTAAGTGGACTCGGAAATAGTATAAACTATTCTTATTTCTTGTATTTTCTACTGCACTTTGTCTAGCTCTCGGTCATCTCAATCACAGCCTCATAGAACAACTTTTAAACTGTGCATTAATGTATACCTGATTTCTGTTTGTGCAATCTCCATTTTGTGGTTATCACAAAACTTCACGGCGCTGTGGGATAAAGATGATGAATGGCATATACCATATGTAGAAAATGGATAGAACTGTTCAACTTTTTTCCTTCTTTTAAGCCAACAGAAATCCTCTATAGGGTATGTTTTCAGCGCTGAAGCCAGTGTTCTGTTAATAGGATCTAATTGGAAATGGCTGGTGTTAAGGAAGTTGCTTGGGTTGTCTGAACTTAATCCTGTGGAAATCCCTAAGAAGTTATTAAAAATCTATGTGCAGTGTCCTAAATGTAGGACACTGATTCGCAAATGGAACTAAGCTTCGAGACTCTTTGGGTTTAGCAGTTGCCCCAAAGTTGAAAATACAGTAATGCAATGGTTTTGACAAAGGCTCCTATGTTAGGGGAAAAAATAGCTTAAATATTTTATAACAGCATATTTGTGTTCATCAGAGCCATAAAGCAGCTGTGACATTGCACTAAAGGGAAGTTTTTCCCTAATGTCATAATATTAGCTTTGCCCATATTACTCTTTAGAAGGTGAAGATGCTGATTTCATTCTATAGTGAGACATGGGCCACGAGCCTCGGTCCTTATACATCATATCAAATATGAAGCCACCGGCTGTGTATTGAAGACCTGTTTTCTTAGCTGAAACATTAAACTCACCTGGTTTGCCAACCATTCAATTGAGCCAGTGTGAATTTTTTTTATCTAGCAGGTAGCACTACTCTAATATGTTATTTCAGTCACAAAATCTTGGGCTAGAAATTAGACAAATGAAGAACAAATGGTGAAAACAGTATAAAAATAGTTACATACCACTCTCATTACTGCAAGAAAGGGAAACTTGTCCAGCTTAGTGTCCTTAACCACGTGTGTGGTGGTTAATTCACTCAGCTTACAAAACGCTGTTAAGCTTAAACAAATGGAAAGCCTTATATCACCTATATAATGCTTTTACGCTCTTTACCTGCACCGTCTATAGAAGGTGGTTTATTAGAGCCATTAAAGCAAAGCAGGCCTGCTGTAGATTGTTCTGCAGCAACCGCTGTCTCTGCAGTCTCTCGTTGCAGTGGCCAGACCAGACCTGTCCTCTGCTGACCCACTATGAACTGGCCGTGCTGCTCAGCCCTGTGGGAAATCCTTGGTGCATGTCTGGCCCTAATTAATACCCCTGCTGCAGTCTCTTATTAGACGGAGAGATGGAGAGAGCGAGTGAGAGGGAGAAAGAGAAGGAGAGAGAGAGAGAGGGAGACAATTAAGTATTGATTATATTTGCATAAATAGCTCCAGTTGTTTAAAGCCTGGTATGACCCCACGTGTTAGCACAGCACTCTCTGGGCACGCATTGGGAGCAAAAATAAAGAGACGTAGAGTGAGGGTAAAAAAGAATTGACCGGAGTCGAGAGAATGCATGGATCTCCTGCAATGCGACACAGCCAAGGCGCTTTAATCGAGTCATCCCAAAGGCTATGCCACTACGTGTTAACTTCGCAATTTGAACCAATTATTGCCCCATTAGCGAGTCCACTGTATTAGGCTGGCAGAAGATAATAATGTTTTTCTGTTGAGTTGGTCATCAATATAATAGCTCGAATAAAACACCTGAGGAGGTGCGCTAGTCACTTTAGTGGTACTCTCTATATCAGCGGTGGCACCTAATAAATGTGGCCTTTGTAATTGAGGGGAAACAGAGTGGAGTGCATGGAGAAAAGAAGAGAAAATAATTGCTGTTCTCCTCGCCCACGTTGCCCTTCTTCCTCCCTGCTGCTCGCATCATGCACCCCCCACTCGCGACCCTCAGTGAGGTCACTCCTGGTGACTAATTATTTAGGTGGAAGGATTACAAAAAGTTGTTGTGCAAGTACAAGTGCAGAGTCTGAGAGTGCAAACAGTGCAAGTGTGGATGCGAGTGAGTATATTATATGCCTCTTAAAAGCGTGTATGAGGATGTTGACATCTATTATTAAATAAGCTGAAGCCCACTGTGCAGTTTTAGGGGTTATGTAGAGAACAGTTGTTACCAAGGAGAGCATGCTCCAAATGGCTTGTCCAGTTTATGCAGACAGATAAAAGGAAATTGCAAAGTTCACATTAATGTTAGGATTTTTATGCGTTTAGCTTCTTTTTTTTTTTTTTTTTTGCAACTCATGACAGTAATAAGTTTTTTGTTTGGTTGTTTTTTTGGGTTTTTATTTTTATTTTCAATCAATCACTGTAATTTCATGCAACTATCCAGATGTTTTAAAACATTAACTGGAAAGTGTAATAAATCAGAATATATCTGAGAAAGTAACAACTCAACGTCTTATAAGCATAGTAGTGGCAGATGTTGTTTAGCTCCCAACATGTCTGTAACAGTGCCATATGCCATTTTGGCATATGGTTCAATGTGAAATAAAGGAGAAGGTGTAACCGTTGGGTTCCTACAAACACTGAGCTTAATGTCCAGGAATAATCCAGAATGGGCATGATATGATTGTGTGTATGTATTAGGCAGCAAAATCAGTAGCTAAGTACGGTGATCAGCTACAACCATGATGCCACCTGTCTAAATGCATTGCGTGGTTTGTCTTGTTCTGTGAGGCAGCAGCCATTGGGGAGTGCCATGTGTACTGAAAATGAAGCCTTTGGTTGTATATCCACATATATCCCAGGACATTAGTGCTCCTAGCAGAGTGCCGCGTTGTAATGAAATAATCAATGTTATTCACATCACCATCCACTGCCTATAAAGTTGAGGGCCCTGTTGAGTCAGTTACTCAGAACCAGATGCTTGTTTCTGTCGTATCTCCAATCTGTTACATACTTTTATCATTGTTTTTAAAAACACTGAAATATCTTTATATGCTGTTATGTTAATAAAGATTATGTCAGCAGGCTTGTCTCTTGCTGTGTCTAATTTTAATTTGATGTTTGTGCACTTGTGGGACGCTATTATAACCTAGTACTATAAATAATTACTGCAGTTTGCGCATCACTGAGTATTAGATATAAGCATGATCTGACAAAAAACAATTTCTAGTGTAGAATTCATTTCAAAGCAAATGAATGAATTTGCATTGAATATGTCTGGCAATGTTTTCTTTTGCTGTGAGAGAGCTGACTTGAAGTTTCTCATTTGCGCTCTCCAGTGTATTTATGAATCGAGCAGTTTGTGTTACTGGAAAACGACAACACAAAGCAGTGTGTGTGTGTGTGTGTGTGTGTTTCTTTCAGCACTGCTAGGAATTTTACCTGCTACATGTGCCGCGTGCCATGGACGTGCTTGCGCACGAGAGAGGATATCAGTCTGCGTGTTTGTGCATGAGTTTAACTTCATATTTTGCGTATGACAGTGCCAGCAGGGCTGATCAGTGTCCATGCTGAGGGCTTTGTCACAGCTGACCTATATTAGATGAAAGCAGCTGGATCAGTGGCCTACAGGGACAGCAAAAGAGTTGTGTTCTAATTATCTCTGCAGCTAGCTAGCGACACATCACACCCGCGCACACACCCATGTACAAACACACACACACACACTTTTTGCGACAAAATCAATGGAGGCTCGTGAGAGCATCTGCCATGCTCTGCTTGACGAGTGACAGCAGCACATCCTCCATGTAGGATTGGCAAAAATACACCGCCTCCTGTCACACAATGCATGTTAAAACCATTTTGTGATGACTTGGGTCTCTGAATGCAACACTGCATGACACTGCCATTCCACTGAGTAAAATATCATTACCAGGTGATCACAGCGAAAATGATTTCATACTGTTGCCGTGTCCTTTAGGGATTGTTAAAACACATCCAGTGCCTTGTTGATGATTTCTCTTATGGATTTAACTGTGTAAATGTTGTGTGTATATTAGCTGCTGTTGCCATGGAGCACCAAAGTAACACATGCCGAGGGTGTGCATTAGCTATAATGAGGCACAGAATAACAGGAAGGGGGAAAGAAAGTCCCAGAGAGGTATTGCTAACAGCTAGCAGTACTCACTGTACTCATGCTAATGCTAATGGATGGGTAATAAAGCATGCACAACCCTGTGGCATCCTGTAATACCACCACAGTTAGCTTGCTAGCATTTTATGTCACACAGACAAAGCATCCTATTTTCCTGTTGGCGTGTTATCACACACACAGCTACACACACATGTTCTCCCATCAGGTGACACAGTGTTACTTTGTGTAAGCCTCGGTGTATTTCTTTTCTGAAGTTCAATGATTTCACAGTTTCTGCTGCTTTTAGGAGGTAATTGGATGCAGCACACACTCAATTAAGTTGTTAGCCTCTGAGTCATCCCCTCCTCTTTCTTTCTCTCGTTATTGTCCGTATCTCTTTTCCATCCCTTTATTTCCATGGCTAATTTCACTCTCTCTGCTGTTATCTCGTTCTCCTCTTGTCATATCCTCCTATCATCCAACCATTCGTGGCTCCGGGGCCTGGCATTCCTAACAGGGGAGCTGAAGTGTTAGTTAGGCAGTCAGGGGAGGCTTCTTGTTTTGGGACCGGCAGGCACATCTTCCACCACATTGCAGGCACTCATTTACAGGTCGGAGCTTATGGGGAGGGGGTGCTTTTCCCATAACGGGGAGAAGGATGTACTGCAGAGAAATGGAACTAAATGCTTCCATCCACATGTGATAAGTCTGGCGCAAATCTGCACGTGAGATTTTTATTTGAGCTTCCCTGATGTTGTCTTTGTCTCTCCCCCTGTCTGCAGAGTGACTGGGACCGAGTTATTTTTCCATCCTTTTCTGCCTATACCTATGGAGCACCATTTCCTGATGAGACTGTGGTAAGTAGAAGGCACAATCACACATGAATGTAACTCCTGCAGCTACACGTCACCTGTACCCACATACGAATTCCACTTCTGTCTTCTGCGTCCTTGAAATCCATCCCTCGGGGATTAACCCACGTCAGTGAAACAGCTCAGAGAAAGTGGGATTCTGAAGCATGCCGCTCACTCTCCTGCATGGCCTGCCTTGTATTTGATCTCACATTTGAAGCAATATTGACTAAGTCGCGTCTCTGGAGATGTTTGCTGCTGTCGACCGTCATGGCTGAACACTACATACAACAGTTTAAACTGTCACTACCCTGCGTGGGTTGGTTGAGAAACATCGACATGACAAAGTTGCCATACTGTTGGCCTTGCATTTTGGAAAGAGGCTAATGGCGAGAGGAAAATAGAAACAGTAGATGGAAAGATGTCAAGACAAGTACAGACTGGCACAGTAGTAAAGTAAAAAATAGCTGGCATGACTGACCGATCGTGCTGGCCCGAGGATGTACTACTATTCTTAGCTTCAGTCTCCTCCTTTTTCTCCATCTCCCCTCACTTTCTCTTCCCTCCTTTCTCTTGATTCGCTCTTGTGATGTCAGCACTCTACAGGATATCTGGTGTCTGGAGGTACCCTGGATCTATCTACTCTTTTTCTGTAATTGGCTAAAACCATTCAACGGACTTCCATCTATCTACCTCCCAAACATTTGTCATTTTATTTATTTATCCTCTCTGTTCACTTGTTTAGCCTTCGTCACCTCAGCTAATACAGTTACACTCCTCTCTTTTTGTCCATTGTTGGATTTACCATGTTAATGAAATGCTGAAGCTTTCACCTAATTACAGCTACAGAGAGGGCCACTTAGAGGCTAAGTGCCCTGTGTTTGTGCATTTTATCTGATGTAATACAAGGCCAGGATGTGATGGGATGTTCTATATAAGTAAAATTACAGATGCATCACATTGTTGCTGTCAGAACCGGAAACTCTCTGCAACATGCCTAAAATGGCCTATTTCTGTCGCCAAGTAGCGTTATCATTCCTGTCATTGTCATCAGGGTAAATATATATTCTGACAGATTCTGAGTGCTCTGCATGAAATAACACACATTAGAAAATAATACACAAGTTGGACACCAAAAGTAGTCTTCTCTGCTATGTCTAAGAATACAGATAGACTTCTATGGTCACTGAATGATCATTGTCATGGCATAGCCTCTTACCATAGGGTCTAGAACAGGCTCTATTCAGGTAATTCAGGAAGTCCTAAGATGGTTAAGATGGTTAGTCAATTAATCATAATCAAGAACACCCATTATAATGATGACTCTCTTTTAATTCTTAGTCTCTGCACAGGCGTTTTTACTTACGTGGTTTAGATTTTAGGAAAGTTGACTCTACCTAAAAATTGATTTAGTCACCTTGACGTCCCCCTTTGGTTTGCTTTCAAATTTTAAAGTGCATTTGATGTCTTGGTTTTCAAAACAACAATGATGGATCTTCTTATTAAGATCCCAAGGACTTTGATTGATACACTAGTGACTTGTCAAATATATCCACACCTCAGATCATACCCTGTTTATCATCTATCTAGGTCTTTACTTTGTCTGTTACAGTGGGTTCATCATGTAGATTATGTGTGCGCCTGAATTAGTCAACACTTGCATTTTTTTAAGAAGGCTTGGGGTCCATGGAGTGGAAATGCTTTATTACTATACTGTATTGCTACATGGTTTGGCAACCTTTCTGTTAAGCTCAGATCCCAAGTTCAAAATTAAAAGGGCTGGAAAGATAGTTGACGTGCTCCTTTCATTTCCCCATTCAGAGTCAGTGATACAGCAGGGTCTGAAAGTTACTGAGGACAAAAATCACATCTTTAATAAGTATCAGTTGACACCATCAGGCAAAAGCTTTAGGGCACCAAACTGTAAGTTCAATAGGTATAAATTTTCTATTGCCAATATCGGCTAATTATTCAATTGTAATTAGGGTAAAAATATAAATAAGTGTTTGTATGTGTGTTTTATGTTTCCCTCTGTTGTCCAGTTTAAATTTCTCAGAAGTGACCCAATAAAGGCTAATCGAATCAAATCGAATCGAATCTATTTCAGTCTAAAAGAGACCAAATAAAGGAACTTTAGGAGTCACCCCCCTGCTGGTCGTTCAAAGGAATGCAGGTTTGCCGCCCTCAGCACTGACTACACTTTTCAGTATGAGAGGATCCTTCCACCTTATAAATTCTGTTCCTTTCTGTGGCTTTACTAACACATCCATAACTGTCCTTGGAGTTTTCTTTCAACTTTTTCTGGATTCTCATTCAGGTGCCAACTGACAAAGTGGGGCTGGAATACATTAATAAAGCACAGCATCTGTGCTTTTCCTGCTGGTATAAGTCAAAATATCTACTGCAGAGAAAAGTCTAATTCACACAGTCAAAGTTAAATCGGAGACCATAAAGTACATTTAATAACACCAATTCCATGAATAGATAAGAGCACATTCGCAAAGTAGCATTTGAACACACTGATAGAGTTTGTGGCCATGTGTAAAATGAATTTTGTGGTGTGAATGAAAAACTTTTTCAAAGTTCTCTTTTTGGCCCAAGGCACTTTTTAGTGGCTGCCTGATGGGAGTAGCTGTAAGGAGTGGTGAAGGAGGTCTACAGGGCCCTTAGTAATGGAAGCTGTGAGGGTCTAAGAGTTGGGTTTAAGTGGTGCTGGTGATTTTGGTTGCATGCTTGATTATTCCTGTGAGCTTTTTCTTGATTTTCACTGTGAAGAAGTTGCAGCAGGATGCTGTTTCTTGTGCTGTACCCTAGGGACTAGGCTGGCTTTCAAGAACAGCTGGAAAAGCTGTTCCACCCCTACAGTTTATATAAAAGATGGATGTAGCCACTGTGATGTCAGCGATTGGTTAGTGAAGTCCCATTATGAGTCCCCGACATGAGTGTTTTTGCTTCCACATGTTGGTTTTGGGAAATGGGGAGTGACGAGTAAAGGCTGGACTTGGCTTTGGCAGAAATAAAAAATCCATGCTCATTGGCTACTAACTTGGGGTTGACAATTCATTAACCTTCAGTAGTGGTCAGAAATGGGAGGTTTGGGCATTTCTCTGTGTCAGCTGATGCAAACTCAAAACCTCTTGCATCTTTACTTCTTATCTTTTAAATTTATGTGCATTTCAGCAGCAGTAATTCTATCAGAGTCACGTCGGGCTTTCCTCCCTTAGTAATGATATGTTTTTGTAATTTGAATGCTATAACTAAGGACTTCCTCTTGACTTTTCACATTAAAAGTCTTGCTGCCTTTCATTTATGGGCATATTTAATGGGCGAAAGTGTTGAGTTTAGCTGGTTATGCCTTGACATCAATTACAATACAGCTTGTGACTACGTGTTTCACTGACAAGTCCACATGAAGCTTTTAACTGATGACTTGTGAGGAGTATTTTGCAGAGATGAGTCACTTTCCTCCATTTTTCTCCCTCACTCACGTCTCACTTCTGAATGGTTATAGGTGTGTGTGGCTACACAGGCTTTACTGCGTGCATGCGTGTGCCTGTGCAGCTCGTGGATCTGTGCCCAGTCTTCCCGCTGTGAGCATATGGTTTCTGGGAGAGTAACTTCAAACAGCAGCTCTTTGTAGCACTGAAGGACAGCATCTCATTAGGACGTGTGCAATTTGGTGTGTGTAGCTGCAGACAGAAGCGAGCCTGCATTAGAGCAGGTTATCAATTTAGTTTTTTGATTATCTGCAGTGGAGCTTATCGGAAGGAGATAAGAGAATTAGGGCGAAAATCATTTTCCCTGAGCACTCCTTCATCCCAACGTTGTTCCCAGCAACAACATGCGAGAATAAAATCGTCCCATTTTATGTTCTAATTTCTATATTTCTCTCACAGGTGCATTTTTTCCTTTTATGTTCAAATAGGACTCTTTCTGCAGTTTTTGGATTATAAAAGTTTTTTATTATCGCTCTTCTTTATCCAACGTGCACAAGAAGGGACGTTCCTCAAAGGCAAAATTTTCTGTTTAATGTTATTCAAGGAAAATAAAATATACAGAACAAAAATAGAGTCTAGTGCAGAGCAATACTGCAAATCTTGGTATCGATCTGATGCCATGTAAATATTGCAGATACCCATACCAGAGTTTTTAACCTATAAAGGCAGTTTATGTACGAGAGAGCAGCGTGTTATGATTTATGAGCCGAATCATCATTAATTTGCAAATCTTGAACACATTTGAATAACTGCTAAATCACACCCTTCAGCTTTTCTTTTATTTTGAAACTGGGTGTTTTTGGAGACTGTAATGTAAATGTGCCTGTCTCTAAACATGCTGGGTCAGCTTCTGTCATTTAAATGTACTAAAGACTATAAATAAAATAGGCACATTTCATTTCCAAAACAATTATTAATCTAACACAGGTCAGTGGGATACATATTAAACTATAAGAATAAAAATAAAGCATCGATCGAAAGAATACCAATTCCAGCTTTGGTTTTGATATTATTGATATTTGGATCCAGGTCGAGATAAAAGACAACCAGAACCAGTGGCTGTATTCAGTCCAGAAATCAATGAAAATTATAAACTGAACTATTATTTTCCATGTCTCGATCTATCCATCTTTTTTGCCTCCTGGTCTCATTCCCACCCTCATCACTCTCTTTTTCTCCCGCCGGATGATTTATGGATATCTTTCATCAATGCTAAAAGCAGCGCTCATCTGTTCTGAACTACTGAAGACCTGTATCATAAGATGAAAGAAAAAAACAGAGAGACTAGAGTTAAGGGCTTGCAGCCTATGTAATGCGTTTGTCTGCGTGCAAGTGTGTCACAGAAGAAGAAAAAGAGCGATGGAGTCGAGAGACAAGAGGCAAAGGGAGGCAGAAACTGTCTCAGCCGTCACATGATTTAATCAAAGCCATCCATCACATCAGGATAATTAGACAGCAGCATGGATCGCACGGCCAGAGCCCATCAGTTAGAACGCACGTACACACAAA